CCCATAGCAGATGCGTCCCTTCCCTTGCTATCAACATCGGACTTCAAACATCAAGGACTAATAGTAAGGAGAAAGAGAAATTCATTTGTTTTCTGCTTTAGGATCGTAAACATGTATGTCTCTTATTCATGATCATATATTGGATAGACCCAAATTGTATCGATTCATTTATCAAAATGATTTGAAAAGCTAAGGTTGCGTTTAGTTACGAAAAAACAATTTTCATTTTCCGTTTTTCGTTTTCCTTTTTCCTTTTTCAATTTTCGTTTTCCGTTTTCATTTTTCATTGGAAAATTTAGAAAACGCGTTTAGTTAAAACTTATTCATTTTTCATTTTCAGTTTTAGAAAATTAGAAAACGTGTTTAGATGTGTATTTTTCTATCAGTTTTCATTTTTAGAAAACAATAGCGGTGGTAAGGTGTAGGTGGGGGCAACAATGGTAGCTGCTCGGCAGCGGTGGTAGCGATGACAGGTGGCGGTGGTGGCGGTGGTAATTGTGGCAGTGGTGGTGATGGTGGCGGTAGTGGTGGTGCTAGTGATGGGGTAGTGGTGATGGTGATGGTAGGTCGGTGATTGTGGTAGTGGTGTTGGGTGGGTGGGTGTGCAAGTGTGTGTTTTTCGGTGTGTGTGTGTGTGTGTGTGTTTTTGTGGGGGGTGGGGGTGGGTGTGGGTGTGTGTTTGTGTGTGTGTGTTTGTAGGAGTAGTGATGGGGTGGGGCGGGTGTGTGTTTGTGCGGGTGGTGATGGGGTGGGGTCGATGTGTGTGTGTGGGGGGGGGGGGGGGGGGGGGGGGGGAAGGGGGTGTTTGTGCGGGTGAGGATGGGTGTGTGTGTTTGTGGGGGTGTGGGTATGGGTGGATGTGTGTGGGTGTGTGTGTGTGTATGTATGTGTGTGTGTTTGTGGGGGTGGGGATGGAGTGTGTGTGTGTGTGTGTTTGTGTTTGTGGGGGTGGGGTGGGTTTGTGTGTGTGTGTGTGTTTGTTTGTGCGGGTAGGGATGGGTGTGTGTGTGTGTGTGTTTGTGGGAGTGTTGGTGTAGGTGTGGGTGGATGTGTGTGTTTGTGAGTCTGGGTGTGGGTGTGTGTGTGTGGGGGGGGGGGGGGGGGGGGGGGTTAAGGTCGGGGTAGGTAGAGGTGGATGGGGGTGTGAGTGGGTGTGTGTTTATATTTTATAAAAATTTTGGAATTAGAAAAATGTGAAAAACAATGATTATTAGTTTTCAAAAAATTTCTAACTTCTTTGTAATTTTAGAAAACATAAAATTTTCATTTTCCGTGAAAAATTTAGCAAAATAGACGAACTAAACGCGTTTTCAAAATTCTCATTTTTCTTGGAAATTTTTTTCGGAAAACTGCCTATTTTTCTGCAACTAAACGCACCCTAAATATTGGTTTAGTACTGCATATTGATTCAGTTTTCAAAATGATTTTGAATTCCTTTTCCATTAAATCTTTGCAGTCTCCTTAAGGGTTTTAGATTTCTCTGTACAATCGCTTCTTCCTATCCCTCCTCTTTTGAGGTCGGTTTTTATAGGCTTTATCTAGTTGTAGTTCAATTAATATATCTGGTCGTTGGCTTTATAATGATTTGTTGACTTTGTGTTTATTGTATAATTTTAAATCCTATACTTATTTAGTTGTGTATATTACGTATTTTTGGCCCAGAGAAGCCCCTTAATCAGAGACAAAACAAAGTAAGTCTAACTTTGTTATGTTTTTTTTGACAAAAATCTTAAAAAATTTCAAATCCGGTTGCATATGAAGTTTTTGAGAGATAGGGGCATAATCAGAATTTGACAAATGTCAATTTTGGTTTTAGTAGCGTCCAACTTCATTCAAGAAAGCTCTGGTTTTAGTAAGCATGCGGTTTCATCCATGAAAGCTTAAGTTTTATTAAGCATATGGTTTCATTCATGATTTGGTATTTCCTTAAGGTATCACGAATTAAAAAAAACTACTTCTTAAATGAGTAAAGTTTGAAGTGGAGTGAAAATGATTTCTTCAAAGTGGGGAGTTGTCCAGATGCTAACACAGAAACAATAATACCTAATGGTGTCAAAGAGACTTCATTCTTTTCTTTGGTTTAGATGCTAACACAAACAATAAACACCCATGATCAAGTTATTTGAAAAACATACTTGCTAGTTCTTCTATTTGTTTAGTGTAATATGATATTGTGTTGTTGCCAACACCTTGTAGGCTCTTTCCATTTGATGTGTTTGTATGAATTAATTGTTTAATTTCATTTAATGAAAACATTAATCTATTAAAGAAGCTTCTTATGAATTATGACCAATTGTTTATGAGTTTTGGATTTTTAACCTAAACGGATGCAGATGAATAAGGGAGGATTGAACATTGAAAATGGACTGCGGGTATTTGTTGCAGGAGATTGACGATGGTGGGGGTGCAATTGGAACATTTTTGGAGGGATTGGCATACGAACTCACCTCCATATTACTACCTGTTAATCTTTTTCATTCTACCCTTTAATCAATCAATTGTGAAGCACGTTTAATGTGTTTTTACAGAATGCAAGATTGTGATCGGTTCTACAAGCACACCGAAAGCAACAACTGTTAACAGTCTTGAAGAAATCTGAATCTAAATCCTAAGTACTAAAACAAAAAGATAAAAAGATCAAATGGGAAACCACCTCAAGAATCAAATTCTAAGAATTCTTACAAAGAAATGATATGGAGAGGCAAAAATTGAAGTTGACACAACCATCAGAGGCCTAGCCAATATACGGCAAGAGTGGGCCTTGACCCACCCACACAAAATTAAGGTTACATGTATATAGTATGTATAATACATAATTTTATTAAATAAAAGGAATTAGGGTTGTGATATGTCCTATTTCATTCAAAACTTGAAATTAGTATAAGATAATACATTGTTGTCTATATTGATTAAGCTTCATTTTAGATTATTTTAATGATGTAAGACAACATCGTACGTAACTTAAAATAAACAATTTAGTTAAGAATGCATATATAGTTATATTTTTTTATCGTTTGAAGAATTTTGCCACTCGTTCATATTTTATATATTATTTGGCCTACCATAAAACAATCCTAGTTACGCCACTGACAACCATCAAACTGTATCTAAACAATTGAGCAAGTTAGCTTATTGTTCATGCATTGCGTCTTATCCTTCAAATATAGGTTTGAATCTTTTCTCCAGTAACTCGTCTTATCCTTCAAATATAGGTTTGAATCTTTTCTCCAGTAACTTCTTCATTTTTCTGCTCCATTGAGAACATAATTCAAACTTGGAATTTCTTTGTGATTATGGCATCTTAAATTTTTTTGGGTTACTATATTTGGACTAAATATTTTTTTCAATAAAAGGTTGGCTCCCCTTGACATTGATCATGCTTTGAAAGATGCACCGAAGGAGAAGATCCAACATATGATAGGTGTCAAATGGTGGACCATTGACGAACTTCCCTCCATCAAATTTATGAAAACAACGGTGTTCACCATCAGTTTCAAAAACAGTAGTTGAAGCGTATTTTTGTCATTTTGTTGTAGGTCTATCGGTGTTACTTTAGGACTAGGTTAGTAGGTAAGTCATAGCAAGTCATATTAGTGTTATTAATGAAAGATTGAAAGAAAATTCTGATTATTTTTTTATGTATTAATTGAACTTTCAAAATTGTTTATTAAAATTAATAAAATTAATAAAATTTTAACTTTTCTGTACATAAGGTTATGAATTTTTATTTTATTTTTATAATATAATATAACCAACTATGATTGTTAGTCTAAATTTTTTGATGAAAGGTTATGAAATTTTATTTTGTTGCATATGGAACAAGTCAATGAAGCGTATGTTACATTCATTTCGTTTCACATGTACAACATTCATTGCATACAGTACAACATTCATTGTGTATTGTACAATTTTCAGTCCAATACCGAAAACTCGAACCAGAAAGTTGACAATCCAATAACCGATAAGCAGCCCGTACATAAAACCGCTACCGTTCTGCCGGTCCAAATAACCTACAACTTTTGTTGTAAACTTTCCACACGCACTCCCTCTCCCCCAACCCATCAAATAAACTTTAACCGTTAAAAGGTAAATATTCAGAAATGACACTATTTGCGGATGTCCTGATACACCCGTACTTTTACTTGTAAATCTAAAGCAACTATATACTTTTAGTTTTCATTTTTAAACAAAAATAGTAAAATACTTGCTTTTAATCGAAAACAAAATTTTACTTTTATTTTATCCCTAAACAAAAGAATTATTACCTTAAGGGAAATCTACAAAAGTCTTAAACTTTTGGGAAAAGTTTCAATAAAATTCTAAAAGTTTTTTTTTAAACAAAAAAGTCCCGATTATTTAACATTTTGCCCAAAATAACGAAAAAATCATTTTTTATATTTGAACAGCAAATGATAGATTATATGATTTTTTTCAAAATAATGAGACTTTTCTGTTAAAAAAAAACTTTTAGGACTTTATTGAAACTTTTTCCAAAAGTTTAGGAATTTTGTGTAGATTACCCTACTCTTAACTAAAACAATGATATATATTTTTTAAACAAATTTATTTTTAACTAAAAGCATTGTACTTTTAGTTTTAACTCAAAACAACAACATATATCATAGATATATAATCTAATCATAAATTATATTTGCAAATGCATTACGTGTTCATCGGAATATGCAACCCTCCGAATAATAGAATGCTCAAGAAACTACTCGCCCCCTCCGCTTTGAGCGGGTAGATGACTAGTATATTATAAAGGAAATCTCACTATTTCTAAAAATAGTTTGAATATAGTAAAATTATTATTTTTTTAAGACGTCTAAATGTTTAAGCTTAAAGTACAAAAAACAATTAATATAATAATATTATAATTTAAATAGTCCAAATTTTAAACTAAATGTATAAATATTTAATGCATAAAATAAATAATAATCCCATAAAAGTATTTATTGTTTGTTCAGAAGACTTCCGTGAATAGCACAAATTAAGGATATATGGTTAGTTAGTTACATTCAACTTCAAATTTGAATTACAAAATCTCCTAATATGTCGCTCCAGTCTCCTTAAATGATGACCACACTCTCTCATCTTTTCTCTCCAAAACCGAATGCTAATGCCCTTCATCTCCGTCATCGTTTAACGCAACCACCACCACCACTACCACCACTCTCCTCCTTCTCTCTTCCCTAATCGGTGACCTCCAACATCAAACAATGACATCTTCACCACCTTTCTCACATCACAGGGATTGAATCGATTAAAACCCTTGTGCACTCTCGCATTCGGTGACCAATGCCCACCTGTTAAAGATGTAGACGACGACCACTTTTGTTTTGATCTATGTCACAGGTTAAAATTTTCTCATACATGTGGAACCAATCAAACTTTTTTTAGCAAATATTAACATGTTGATTCAAATATCCCTCCGATGGCTGATGCGTCTTTGTTCACTTCCCTTGTATAAAACCCACCGCCATGAAGTATTTCCCCCATACAAACCCTAACACATGTTTCTCTCTTTTAAAGGAAGACAGTGAGCTTTGTCTGGAAAATAATTTCGATTTTATTTCCTTCTAATGAATTTGATTTGGTGTTTCGGTGGGTTGCAGGTGAGATGGACGACATGTGGGTTGAAGACGGAAAGTTTCTTCTAAGTTGGTTTAGATCTGCAATGTTATCAAAGGTAAAGTTCAATTCTTCTCATTTTTCTTCTTTTTTTCTTTTTCTGTTTCAAGCTTTTAGCATCCATGTCTCTCATTATTTCACATTAGATCGGACTCTAATTAGAAATGATATATATCGGTTGATATACCTATCATATGAGATCTAATAGCTTTACATAGTCAACTGATCCATGTCCATTTAAAGGGTTTGAGTAAATTACACGAATGGTCTCTATGGAACCGAAGACTGAAATGAAGGCCATATAAGATCCATGTTAGTTATAATTCTAACTTTTAAAGTTTTATGTTCTTTCTAAAGCCATTTATACGAACACCAAGTGTTTGATGAGACTACTCAATGAGCATTTAACCTGTAAGAAGCAAAAAAGTTTTTTTATTAAAAGGCTTTATGTGGTTCCATTGGAGATTAGTTTTTCTTAGGTTTTTATTTTTATTTTATGCTTCATTTCCGAGTAACTTGCGTGGTAAGCTCGGTTGTTGAACCTGGAGCATGTAGACGAAAATGATAACAAATCAAAAACAACAACATCTAATCATTGTTGGTAAGTTTCTTGTGTTTTTTACCCCTGTTGTTTCAATTATCCATGGAACTTTTGAAGTTAACTATATAAATGATTATTTGATGCCAAGTAAAATTCATTTGGATTTCTAGACCAAGTGTGCAACTCTATATACAATAAAAAATAGTTATTTTAATTTGGAGCTTTAAATCTAAAATTAGCTTTAGTAATGACAAGTTTTGGTGTGTTTTGGAAGCTAACATATGTTCGATTGTTATTTTAGTTGTTTTTAGTAGTCGGCATCCGAAACATTCCGTCGGTAAAATGTCTAGACCTTGACATAGTTTTTTCTTTTTGTTGTTTTACATAGTGTAAATTACTTTAGTTTTTCTTCTTTTTGAACCGTTACAAAGGAAGACATTTGTTTATTAGTTTTCAAGTTTATGTTCATTTCCAGTTTATAACATTATTCTTATTTAACTATTTTTTCTTATTAAAGAAAACACCCTTTTACAAAAACATGACTTTTCATTATTTTTCTTAATGAAGTTTGTGCCATATGCTCAAAAAGGCTTTGGATGGCAGAGGGATAAAGCTCTTAAACGGGGTGATGGTGGTTTATGGAGTAGAAATTTTGGAAATCTGCAACATACTTTTCATGGCAAAAATAACGAATTATGTGTCATTTTAATGACATGGTAGAAAACTAAAAAAATACCATGGCACTTTCATGTAACTTATTTTTTATGGAATAAGTAGCAGAATTTCATTTTATTTTACCACTTGTGTGATGTGGGATTGATTGATAGAAAGTTCAAAAAATATTATGGTGCTTTCGTTTTTCCATATCTGTAACTTGCTTTATATGACAGAAATAACAATTAACTTTTGTTTTTCCATATCTGTAACTTGCTTTATATGACAGAAATAACAATTAACTTTTCATTTTTTGACCATCTGTGTCACTGGAAGAAAGTTCAAAAATAGTATCGTACTTTCGTTTATTTGAGATATGAACTTACTTTTCATGGCAGAAATAACAACTTATTTTTCATATTTCAAACCAGATGTGGATAACTGGCTGAAAGCTCAAAATTTAGCAAGTTAATTCTTTAGCATCACGAGTTAAAATAAACCAAATTAAACTACGTGATGTTAGTACATTATTAGCTTCATAAGTTTTGATTTTTAACAAACGGTTTCTATCATATATGGTAGATTTTTTTTTACCAAAATGAAATCATTTTATTTAAGAGACATCTATTCTAAGCAATGAAGGTTTTTTTTTCAACTTGTCACATTCTCATTCAATTTGCCAAATATTATTTTATGGTTATTTTGAATTAATTTTTTTCCACATGTTATTTTATGAGTTTTTTTATTTTATTAAATTCAACATAATATTTTAATGTAAAAATTACAATAAATGGATATCAATTTCATTAATAAACTTACCTTTTAATTTCAAAATTTCCAAAATTAAAGCTTATTAGTTTATTTTGTTTATATATTTAAATTATTTGTTTTAATTTAAAAGATAAAAGAACATTTATGTTATAATAACTCATTATTTTTCTTGTTTTCTTATAAATTCAAACTTCTCAAATATTTAGACTTTTATATTTAACATTTTCTTTTTAAATTAACCTATTTAATACGCGGGACTCAGTGTAATTATATTTTAAGATTAAATGTAACCTTTAAGTAAAATATTTAGTGATTTACCAAAACTAACTTATATGGTAGTTTTATTTACCAAGTTTATCGCACTACATATTACCAAATATATTGCATTAATGTGGAAAAAAGAAACTACAATATATGCTAATGTACATCAGCAATCATATTTTTAATACTTAAAATACATGTCGGATTAATATAATTTTAAAACACAAATAACATAGATATATGATAGGTATATTTAAGAACGTTTAACAGTTTTTTTTTCATAAATTAATGAAAATTGATCAATCAAATACAAATATAAGCAATTTAGAGTAAATTTTGTTTACAAAAAGTTATATATATATATATATATATATATATATATATATTATATATATATATATATATATATATTGCAAGATAAAGAAAAAAGATTTACGGACTTTAGAAGATTTTTTTAGCCCGTTTTATCCTAATAATTAATGAGTTTTATGGTCTGATCTTATAGACGTAAGAACACTATTCACCGAAATTAATTAATCACTGTTTAAAAACTATTCGCCGTCGCCGCTTTGTGCGGACAAACGACTAGTATATATATATAAAAGCTTCGGTATCTAAACCCACCTTAATACAAAGTTTTGTTTGATATATTCATTATAATGTTCTTAAACTTCAACTTCTAACTTGATTTATTTTCAAGATTTTAAAAAGTTCAGTATTATTTTCCTCTTACATCACATGTTTTTGTCGAACACCTACTAGGCTATATATATACTATACTTGAAAATGAAAATTATGGAAGAGGAAGATAAATGTTAAATTTATAAAAATCTTGAAAATAAATCAAGTTAGAAGTTAAATTATAAGTACATTGGACAATTACAATGTATATATATGATACAAAACGACATAGTTTGGTGGGTTTGAATACTTAAGCTTATATACCCTTTAGGGTATATTCACTTTTCATATATATATATATATATATATATATATATATATATATATATATATATATATATATATATATATATATATGTGTGTGTGTGTGTGTGTGTGTGTGAAATGATATTTAAGACGCCATTGAATGTAGTAAGATTATTTATTAAATTGTAATAAATTTGTGGTCCTCAAAGTTTGTTAACAAATACCAACTACAACATATATTATTTACTTTTCTAATTAAATATGTTCAATAAATGAACTTCATATAACTTTAACTATAAAAAGACGTTATGAGGTACTTATCTATTTGTCAAGGAGTTGTTCAAAGACTTATAAGCTAAAAAGCATGGCCCCATTTCCTCCTTGTGAATCATTGGAAAAATGTTGTCAACCAAACGAAGTGTGTATGAGGCAAGTGTGGCCAGAGTTGTTAGGGGTGGCTGAAAAGGAAGCTTGTTTGGCAATTGAGAAATCGAATACCAAGGTTAGAGCTGTCCCGGTGTTACCAACTGAGATCCCTACAGCAGACTTTTGTTGCAATAGGGTTTGGGTATTTGTCGATAAACATGGTGGTGTTGTGATCCAAGCCCCAATGGTTGGTTGAGTTGAATATAAAGGATGTAAAATGTCTAAATAAATGGTTATTATAACCATAATAAATCAATATTTTCTTAACTGGACTAGTCATATATATATTTTTTTACAAAATATATATGATCTACTGGCCCCTATTGGGTCATGCATGTATAGATCAACAAACGTTTGCACCATTCTCGATTCTAATAAACATGATAAACATCACTAAACACAATAAAGGACTGAAAAAATTATTACCATAACTTGATTATAAGCAAATGATATAATTTTTTCTGTTTATGCTTAAAGTGAGCTAGTTATATATGTTTACAAAATAAACTGTTTTATGTAATTTAGATAGTAAATTGAACACATGACTTTAATTTGTCATTTATTCCAAATATATATATATATATATATATATATATATATATATATATATATATATTATATATATATATATATATACTAAGCCCTTTACTGGGTCATGCATGTGTAGATCAACAATCTTTTTCACTATTCTCGGTCCCTGTAAACATATAAAACATCAACAAACACAATAAAAGACTAAAATTTTTTGTATCATAAGTTGACAAAAATTAGTAACTCAATGCCTAGATAATTCACGCTTTAGATTATAAGCCACTGATGACTTTTTTGTTTATGCTAAAAGTGAACTAGTCATATGTGTTTACAAAATAAAATGTTTTATGTAATTTTGATGTTAACTTGAACACATGACTTCAGTTCGTCATTTATTCCAAATATAATGGTTTATTTCTGTCTTTCTAATAATATTTAAAAATTAGAAAAATGATTAAATTTATTGGTTGGTATAGAACATTGACAAATAGTTTTTGTAATCTTTTTCTATTTTCATTGTCTAATTGTTATATATGAATGCTCCAATTTAATATTCCATTAACATTTAAGGAGAGTTTGTAAACTATATTGATGAGACTAAAAAGTCTTTAAGATCGATTAGATTCTTAAGAAGCAAATCAAGAAAGTAAATTAAACAAGAATGCAAATGAATCAAACTGTTGTCGAATGATTAAAAAGTCACGCCTCAGAAGAGCTCTATTAAGAATTGCTACTGTAGAGGTGTGGTAGGGTTACAATACGTTTTGAATGATCAAAATCAATAGTTAACCTAATACGGTGCATGCATGCACCATATATATAATAACCCTAATAACAAACGGCTGGACAGGCCCAAAACCGTGTACAAATTGGACTTATACATACAAGCCCAAAGATGCAATCTAACAAACCCAACAATCTCCCCCTTTGCGTCATTGGAGGCGAGAGATCACCGTTGCTGTGCTTGCGTTGCCTTCTTTACCGTTTTGAACAGCTTCGATATGATAGCAATAATAGTGCGACGAAAGTTGATATACCACCGAAGCATGTCATTGAAGTTCTTCTTTGAAGCAACATCATTGGATTTACATCTGTTAATTATATCCAGAATATGTTCAAGACAGATAGTGGAAAACAGATGTTTGTCGGGTAGAGCGAACATGCACTTGAATGGATGATCAGCTCCTTTAGTAAACATCATTTTCCAGTGTTCAGTGTCGATCTGGCCCATACGCATTTTATTCACATCACTAGCTTTGCCAATTGGTTTTACAGTAGGCATTCGTCTCAAAGCATTGACAATTTCTTGATCGAGCTTTGTTACTTCGTGTATATACGACACCAACATTCGCTTGATGTGAGCAAGAATGGGTTCGTACTTCTGCTCATCACACAGCAAAAAATTTGTCAAAACAATCCACTCATGAGGATTGATATTTGGTAGATCAGCAAGAGAAATCTCATGAACTGTATTTTCAGGACCACGAGTAAAATTCATTTGGATTTCTAGACCAAGTGTGCAACTCTATATACAATAAAAAATAGTTATTTTCATTTGGAGCTTTAAATCTAAAATTAGCTTTAGTAATGACAAGTTTTGGTGTGTTTTGGAAGCGAACATATGTTCGATTGTTATTTTAGTTGTTTTTAGTAGTCGGCATCCGAAACATTCCGTCGGTAAAATGTCTAGACCTTGACATAGTTTTTTCTTTTTGTTGTTTTACATAGTGTAAATTACTTTAGTTTTTCTTCTTTTTGAACCGTTACAAAGGAAGACATTTGTTTATTAGTTTTCAAGTTTATGTTCATTTCCAGTTTATAACATTATTCTTATTTAACTATTTTTTCTTATTAAAGAAAACACCCTTTTACAAAAACATGACTTTTCATTATTTTTCTTAATGAAGTTTGTGCCATATGCTCAAAAAGGCTTTGGATGGCAGAGGGATAAAGCTCTTAAACGGGGTGATGGTGGTTTATGGAGTAGAAATTTTGGAAATCTGCAACATACTTTTCATGGCAAAAATAACGAATTATGTGTCATTTTAATGACATGGTAGAAAACTAAAAAAATACCATGGCACTTTCGTGTAACTTATTTTTTATGGAATAACTAGCAGAATTTCATTTTATTTTACCACTTGTGTGATGTGGGATTGATTGGTAGAAAGTTCAAAAAATATTATGGTGCTTTCGTTTTTCCCTATCTGTAACTTGCTTTATATGACAGAAATAACAATTTACTTTTCATTTTTTGACCATCTGTGTGTCACCGGAAGAAAGTTCAAAAATAGTATCGTACTTTCGTTTATTTGAGATATGAACTTACTTTTCATATCAGAAAGAACAACTTATTTTTCATATTTCAAACCAGATGTGGATAACCGGCTAAAAGCTCAAAATTTAGCAAGTTAATTCTTTAGCATCACGAGTTAAAATAAACCAAATTAAACTACGTGATGTTAGTACATTATTAGCATCATAAGTTTTGATTTTTAACAAACGGTTTCTATCATATATGGTAGATTTTTGTTTTTACCAAAATGAAATCATTTTTAAGAGACATCTATTCTAATCAATGAAGGTTTTTTTTTTTTCAGTTTGTCACATTCTCATTCAATTTGCCAAATATTATTTTATGGTTATTTTGAATAAATTTTTTTCCACATGTTATTTTATGAGTTTTTTTATTTTATTAAATTCAACATAATATTTTAATGTAAAAATTAACAATAAATGGATATCATTTCATTAATAAATACAAGTGAAATTACTTTTAATTTCAAAATATCCAAAATTAAAACTTATTAGTTTCTTTTGTTTATTTATTTAAATTATTTGTTTAAATTTAAAAGATAAAAGAACATTTATGTTATAATAACTCATTATTTTTCATTTTTCTTATAAATTCAAACTTCTCAAATATTTAGACTTTTATATTTAACTTTTTCTTTTTAAATTAACCTATTTAATACGTTAGACTCACAACTAGTTTAATTATATTTTAAGATTCAATGTAACCTTTAAGTAAAATATTTGGTGATTTACGAAAACTAACTATATGGTAGTTTTATTTACCAAGTTTATTGCACTACATATTACCAAATATATTGCATTAATGTGGAAAAAGAAACTACAATATATGCTAAAGTACATCAGCAATCATATTTTTAATACTTAAAATACATGTCGGATTAATATAATTTTAAAACACAAATAACATAGATATGATAGATATATTTAAGAACGTTTAACAGTTTTTTTCATAAATTAATGAAAAATTATCAATCAAATACAAATATAAGCAATTTAGAGTAAATTTTTATAAAAAAAGTTGTATATATATATTTGCAAGATAAAGAAAAAAGATTTACGTACTTTAGAAGATTTTTTTAACCCATTTTATCCTCATAATTAATGAGTTTTATGGTCTGATCTTATATACTAGTCGTGTATATAGAGATATATATAGATATATATATATATATTATATATACTATATATATATAATGGGGTGGGTTTAGAAATGTTATATATAATATATCTATATATATATAGCTATATATATATATATATATATATATATATATAGCTACTATATTGAAAATGAAAATTATGTAAGAGGAAGATAAATGTTTCATTTATCAAAATATTGGAAATAAATCAAGTTAGAAGTTTAATTATAAGTACATTGGACAATTACAATGTATATATATATACAACGACATAGTTTGGTGGGTTTGGGTACCTAAGCTTATAGACCCTTTATGGTATAGTGTACTTTTCTAATATATATATATATAATATATATATATATAATATATATATATATATATAAATATATATATCTATATAATATATATATTATATCTATATAGATATCTATATAATTTATTGTATTCAAAGTAATTATTGTGTTATTGTGTGCATTAAATGTGGGCCAATCATTTTTGGTAAATTAAAAGTGATTATTTGTGATTGTATGCATAAATAGATAACATTCACTTTCTTAATTTACCAAAAAGTTACTAATTAGGAAACACAAGTTTAATTAATAAAAAGTTTCGAATTTTCAGATATATTTGATTTTCTTAATTTTGAATTTTCATTTTTTAATTAATTAGATTATAATTCTAAGATAATTCTTTTAGAATGATATTCTATGAGGATGTCAGATTATCTATTCTGACAAATAAATGTTTTGAATGAATGAATATTTTGAAGACAAACAATATTTTGAAGCATCAGTTTAAAATAACCTTAAAAACTTCTTGGAGAAAACAGAATTGGAATTCGTGATTCCATTCTAAAAGAAAACATCAAAATCTAACAACGAGTAATACATTCTAAAAGAATAATGTGGTCCGTTTCAATTTTGTGGTCCGTTCTTCAAACATCAACTTCTGTGATTCCAACAGAATTGGAATTCGTGATTCCATTCCAACAGAATTGGAATTCGTATCTCTACTAACAATTGCAAATAAATCTATTCCCCAGCATAAACAAGCATCTGAATACCATCTTCCAAAAGCACTGGAATCCCAACCTTGAAGTTGGAACACAATAATACCTCGTTTGACTTAGGAAAAGTCAAAATTGAACCACTTCACATCTATCATGAATTCTGATTGACATCCATTAAACCCGATGTATGTTCTAAATTCA